ATTTATTATTAATATTCTCTAGATTGTAAAGTGCATAGAGCTTTCTGTTGAGCAGGGATAAGAGCTTCACAATACATGCTATTTTTTATCATTATTGTTATTAAATCCTTACATTCCAGGCATTCTATCTATCAAAGGGCTGCACAGTGATTTGATAGCTTTTCACCAAGGACATGAGTACTCAAACAAAATGTAGTAAATCCAATCTTTACTCAGATACTGAACATTTCATTTCATTGTCAGTCATTCCGAAGTTGCTATACAACACAAATAGGTCACATGAGTGCTAAAGATTAGAAGAGTCACTTGATAGTAACATACAAAGAAAAGACGGATAGATACCGATGACAGGTGTTTGATCGGAAAGATGCGAGCACAAAGGCTTCCAAGGAAACTGACAACGATTCTGGCACAGCCACCCTCACTTCTTCCCAAACTGACAGTGCGTAGCGTAATCTCAGACATTTTGCGTAGAAACAACTGACATTGACCATCATATGGTTTCTTTTTGGCTTGAACGGCCACACTCCAATCACTAAATGGACAATGATAATTATGATAATCAACAAGGAGAAATAAACCAAACCCTTTGGCCAGCTGCGTGATCAGTAGAAAATCTCTCTTGTCTTGAGTAGAACCCGTAAAAAACCCTTTTGTTGTTCCTTTCAATAATTTATAATACATGGTTTCAATTACAATAATGAAGTAGCGAAAATATGCGAGGATTTCAATGAGATTAATAAAATACATGGCAGTGGAGATGTACATTCAATACACAGTCCAACTATGTAAACTTATACAAAATATTTACAAAAATGATCATATCAGTTTGTAAGTGTAAATGTCTGCCTTGCTTTGGGAATATTCTTTTTATAAAGAAAGTCATAAAAAGCATATTATCATTTACTCCAGCTGAGAAACGTTCGATGAACTCTTGTGGTGCTTGACAATGAACAGCTGGTGTGTAAGCATTATGATTGTTGTATACGTCCATTTTCAACACACACTTGTGACAGATTGACTTCCCCAATAATGATAGTTGGAGTAAAGAAAAAGAAAAAGCACCCAGATTAGAGTATATATATATATATAGATCTATATATATATATACTGTTAAAAAAAGAACAGTTTTCTAGTTTTGGCGTAGCAGATTTGCTGAAATATTTGAACGGACAAAAAAGAACCCACTTCCTCCTGACCTCACAGAAAACTGTACTTGGACCAATATCTCGGTACAGTTTGTCACTGCTGTTACTGAAAAAAGAAGACATTCTCTGGTATATGTGTCACACTGCGATGGAATCAGGCGCTCGTCAAGTTTTGGGCATGTAGAGTAGAGTTATTGGTATCATCTGAAAGCTGATTTGTTTGCCTTGCTTCCAATGAAAGAAATATCCACTTATCTTGAACAGAACTCAAGATATCTGCAATTAAAGAAAGTGAGGTCGCCTGATATCAATAGTGAAATTATCGAGAAAATGGCCGCCCAAGTTTGGTAACTCCAAGAGTCTTTAAAAGCTGAAAAATGACATATTTTGAGCTTTAATCAATGTTTTTCAGTAAAATTCATATATGGAAATGTGTTTTTAATGTGGACATTAAAGAAGTTAAGCCAAAAATACAAATTCAATAAAAATGTCCAAACTGGCCAGGGATTTTATTATTTTAAAAAAATAATAATCTATTTTCCTTTAGTGAACCGCTATTTTCAGATTAACTGCGTTTGGTTTGGACCTCACTGTGTTGGCAAACAGATATCCACGAAAATACTTCTCTGCCGATACTGAAAGATCCCGACGGAATTGTTAGTATTCCTGTAAACAAGCACTTCGACATAACCAAAGCCGATTCAGCATTGAGAAATTTCCGCTAAAGCCACAGGGATCTGAGAGAAGAAAGCCAGAAGTTCATGGTAATTACTGACTCCACGCACTCCCAGGTAACTTTGAAAGATCACCAAAGGCTCAAGGAACCAACGTCTTGGACTGAAAATGTTCAGGGGCAGAAATGTTGAAGTTGACCCAAATATAACCGACGATAATTTTGCTGGACAAGGTAGTTTTCACGTCTTTGGACAAAATGTCTACACACAGAAAACCAACACAACCAAACTTTCATTTTTCACAGTGAAACTTTCTCAGCGGAGCTTTCACACCGATGCAAATACTTATACGCATACTCATATCAATACAATCAGATTTCTAATCCAAGCATGCACTTTGCACCACACAGACACCACAGGAGCAAAGAAAAAAAACAATCGTTGTTGAGTGGTTTGACAATGACTTTCACTGATGGGTGGTTTGAACTGAGACAACAAACTTTTCCGCCTTCAACTACATGCACTACAAACCAGGACCAGTCACGTTCAACCACAGCATTCTTCACAACGGTCGTTGGTTTTTTTTCGCCATGTGCTCTACAACATTCTAAAATACCACAGGTACGGTATTTCACGTCATCTGAAAAACACTGAGGACAAGCAAAAACTTACGAGGCAGTGATAGTCATAAATAAAACTTAAACTGAAAAACAAACAAGTAAATATGTTTTTCAATCAGCACAAACACAAGTCTTCGATTTAATAATGTACAACTAAAGTATCGAGCAAGTGACTGCTATCTTAGCGTCACATAGCCTCAGCACGTTGCATGCAAATGTAGAACATAGGTTAGACAAGCACAGTCCTGTACACTTTGTACAAAGTTCCATCGTGGTATCACATGCTCACCGAGGATCAATTTTGACAGAACAAGCTGATGTCTGATGTCCATGAGAACAGAGCGTGGTATACACAAGCTCATGCCCATGAGAACAAAGCGTGGTATACACAAGCTCATGTCCATGAGAACAAAGCGTGGTATACACAAGCTCATGTCCATGAGAACAAAGTGTGGTATCCACAAGCTCATGTCTATGAGAACAAAGTGTGGTATCCACAAGCTCATGTCTATGAGAACAAAGTGTGGTATCCACAAAGTATACATCAAATAGAAGGTGGAGGACTAGCCCCCTCCTTCCCCTCCCCTCCCCTCCCCAGCAAAAGCACCAAGCTAAGAAAAAAGATTTCTTCAGAGAAGTAGCAAAACAATTTTAAACCTCGGAAGTAATTAACCCTATCCATACGTCCTGTTTTACTATCGTATCCATACGACATGGGGAACTCTGTACCACCACTTTCAAAGAGAAAATTTACTCGTTAATCCGATCCGTACCGTTCGCATAGCAGTCTGTCAAAATAATTTTTTGACAAATACTGAAAGTTTCAAAGAGATCTTCGTACTAGAAGTATTCTAAGATATGAAGAATACAACCTGGGGGGTACAAAAAGATCCCAGGGAGTACGGATAGGGTTAAACAACGCTCTCCCATGGGACCGGCACAGAATATCTGTAAACATCAGTGCTTGCCAACATGGGCGGTATCGCTCACTAGTGGGAGATTTAGTGAATTCCTTGGTGATATCGCTTACGCTTACAAGTGGAAGATTTGGTGAATTCCTGGGTGATATCGCTCACTAGTGGGAGATTCTGTGAATTCCTGGGTGATATCGCTTACTAGTGAAAGATTTGGTGAATTCCTGGGTGATATCGCTTACTAGTGGGAGATTTTGTGAATTCCTGGGTGATATCGCTTACTAGTGAAAGATTTGGAGAATTCCTGGGTGATATCGCTTACTAGTGAAAGATTTGGTGAATTCCTGGGTGATATCGCTTACTAGTGGGAGATTTGATGAATTGTGGTGGGGGGGGGGGGGGAATTACCCTGGTAGTAACGGCTGCCATTTTATGCCTGGCTTGGAAATACAGTCAAAGCTGCTCTGACGGTCAACTCCACAACACAAGATAATCACCTGTACAAACAGGCACTTCCCACTTCTCTCCTTGCCTTATTTTCCCATTATATTAAAATGTCACTGAGTAAAACGTCCACCTTTTTTCATCGACAAAGGACGGCAATCTTAAACAATTTCCGCTCTCCATGTAGGTGGGTGGTGTGAACATTTCAAGGTGGGAGAAGTGGGTGCTGGCTGCTATCTAAAAAATGGTCAACAACGAGCACTGGTCCACATAAGCATGTAACCCATTAAGTCCAGGCCCAGTGAACCTGTAGTGGGACTCTTGTGCCTCAGTACCCAAGAGATGATTGCTGTATATATATATATATATACGCCACCACTCACTGAGGCATTATACCCGCACCTGTGGTGTCGCAGCGAGGCGCTCTGCGGCAGTGCCTCAGTACCCAAGAGATGATAGCTGTATATATATATATATATCTATATGCGCCACCACTCACTGAGGCATTGTACCCACACCTGTGGTGTCGCAGCGAGGCGCCTGCTGCCGCACTAAGGAGATCTGAGTTTGAATCCTGAGCGTGGACAATTTTTTTTATCGAGTATCTTGGTCGTTCTGCTACGACGTCCCATCCCTATCCACCCGAGTTGATCCTGACCGGTAGCGAGGTTGGAAGCCAGCCTCCTAAATGACCTAAATTGAGTCAATATCTACATTAAATTGTACAAATATCTTCTGCTTTCAGAAAAGTAATGGTAACAATACTGGGATGTGCCCACATGTCTGTAAGAATAAAGAAAGAGCAAATATACACGAGGACAGATAGACAGGAAGGTGTAAAAAGATAGATAGATAGATAGATAGATAGATAGATAGATAGATAGATAGATAGATAGATAGATAGATAGATAGACAGGTACGAGTATAAAAAGATAGACAGATAGAAAGGTAGGTGTAAAAAGATAGATAGATAGACGGGTACGTGTATAAAAAGATAGATAGACAGGTAGGTGTAAAAAGATAGATAGATAGATAGATAAATAGACGGGTACGTGTATAAAAAGATAGACAGATAGACAGGTAGATGTATAAATAGACAGACAGACAGGTAGGTGTTTAAATAGACAGATAAATATGTTGGTGGGGAGAAACAGGTAAGGTGAGAGGATAGAATGGAGACTCAATCAATATACTCGTAGGTAGGGAGATAAATCAAATATAATATACACTTTCCCAACCCCAACAATTAAGCACTTTAAGAGCAATGCCTTTCTAGGGATACTATTAATAATCAGATATTAATATACCTTAATAATCAGATATTAACATACCTTAATAATCAGATATTAACTCTTTAGCTGCTTGGGGTTTTGAACAGATTTTGTTGGGGCTTTTCCCCCTTGATAATTCTGATCAAAGGTGTTACCCCAAAAAAGCTATATTTAGATCAAGTACGCCGAAATATAGTTGTAGCATACACCAAAATGTTAAGAAATGAATGAACTTTTATAAAATGAGCATTTTGTTGGGGAATTTATATCTTTTTATGTTACGCAATCATAATCACGACCATAATTTTTTCTTCACACAAAAGCTGGGGAAACATAAAATCATGACTTCCCATCGGAAAGCTTCACATTTGCATTTTATCGCATCCTTATTAATGCAATCACACAGGCGCCACGCAGTGTGCGGTCCCGGGCAGATAAAGAGTTAATATACCTTAATAATCAGACATTAATTTATACCTTGAAGTAGCACCACGTAGTTGTCATGATTTCTCTGAACTGTTCCACCCTTATATTCTACTAAATTTCTTTCTATTCACCTAACTGTGGGTGTGTGTGTGTGTGTGTGTGTGTGTGTGTGTGTGTGTGTGTGTGTGTGTGTGTGTGTGAGTGTGTGTGTGTGCGTGTGTGTGCGTGTGTGTGTGAGTGTGTGCGTGCGTGTGTGTGTGTGTGTGTGTGTGTGTGAGTGCGTGCGTGTGGTTTACATAAACAATCAGCGTAAAGGAGAAATGTACATTATAAATATTCGTTATAAATTAGAACGTACAGATTCAGCTGCAGTTCATTGGTTCAGCTATAACTTATATAAGTACTTCTTGTAATACTGGTGACAGCCGTAGCATTGTGGGGAACAAAGTAGTTGGCAGGGGCACACAAAAATAAATCATCATCATCTTAACTTCTTTCAATATAAATAAGTGATGCTGCAAACGAGAACGACATCATAAATGCTTCAATACCGAGATAAATTAAATAAAATATTTGATTTGCATGATTTGCTTGTTCGAAAATATTCACTTTGAGTCTTTGAAATATCAGCCTTAGACTCTGTTGGCATATATTATATCTACAAAATGTTTGCTATCCCAGTAACGTAATAAAGGCTAAACTCAACGATTGTTTTCGTACACATCACAACTCCATCATAGCCAAAGAAGGCTACGCCGAAGGAAAAGACAGGTTAAAAATAGCAACACCCATAGCCACCTCTTTCCCTGTCCCCCCAGTACCCATTACATCCATCTCTTCCCTACTCCATCCCCTATATTTTATTTTCCTCGAACAATAAAGGAAATTTACAGCATGTTGAAGAGACTGTGCCGCAAGTTTTCTTTGGGTGAAACTTGACAAAATACAATAATTGGTTCATATCTGATCACTCGCAATACATCAAATATACATCTGTACACTTTACATCCCTTTACAACAGTACGAAATCAACCTCTCTACATCAGAGGTTGGACTTTGTCAAGAAAACATAGCATACAATTGAAGAACTCGGGCTGTCTTATTCACACACTCGTTTCCTTTTTACGAAAGTCACTCCCCGAGCTTTGTCGAATCCACACGTTATCCAGACTATCCTCATCTTCAGAGCTGCTGGATGTGTCCTCTGCCATGTTACAGAATCCCTTCTGCGTGAGTCGGTCGTACTCGCTCGCCGACCGCGGCAGCCAGAAGGCTTTCTTTGCCAAATCGTCACTTTCACTAGCCTGCTTAATGAGTTTATGCATGACCTTGTCCTTATACATATGGTTGACATACACGTAGTTCACTTTTGGGGTACGGTTTCGAAACTGATCCTCCCAGCCCAACGATCTCTGCTTGGTGGTGAGTTTATTCCTGGACTGTCGGTCGGACCGCTGGTGTTTCTTCCTGTGGGTGGGGTCCGAGTGATGGTCCGAGTCCATGGACCGCGCCTGCTTCGCCCCGGGCTGACCGTTGTGGGTGGGCACCTGGTAGCGCGACTCGTAAGCCTGGCTGTCCGAGAGGACGGGGCTACGCGGGGCGTAGGTGACCGAGCGGCCGGGGCTCCCACCAGAGTGGGCGCGCTTCTGTCGGGGCCGGCTACTGTCCGAGCTGTCCCCTCCAGACAGCGGCCTCCAGCCATTGCCCCCGCTGCTACGGCGCTGTCGGGCCGAGTGAGCCTGTGAGTGGGAGCTGCTGGACACAGGGCTCATCGATTTAACCAGGCCGCGGGACTGCGTCTGTACCAGGTACGGGGACGGAGGGATGTTGAACGCAGACGGCGCGGCCGGTTGTGAGGGAGCGGGGGGCTGGGGGGGCAGCGAGGGGTTGAAGGGCGTAGGGGACATACTGTGTGGGGGCAGGGGGGACCGAGACTGCTGGTTCAAGTTGTACAGGTGGGGGTTGACAGGGGGGAGCATGGCGGGGCAAGGGTAGCCTGAGCTGTAGTCAAACGGGTAGTGCTGTTGGTGAGGGTAGGGTGGTGGTGGCTGATTCAATGAGTACGTGGTGGGAGGGTGACTAGGGAGTGGAGGTAGATTACAGTGGAACGGGCTCCATGCCACACCGGGGTTCACAGGTCGCTGACCCATCTCCCCCACCTGGCCCTGCAGCTCTCCGTTCCAGTTTTGGTTCACAGAACCGTTCAGCTGGTTCTTGACAGATTCCTCTCTCGCCGCTGAGCCTTCCCGACTCCCTCGAGCCCGCGGCTGGCCCCCGCTCTCCCCACCAGAATCCTCCTGGGGCTTGTTTTTCTGGCCGAAGACGTTACTCCGCGGCTGCACGGGCGTGAACGCGCTGGGGTGGACCCCGCCACCGAGGGAGCCAGCGCTGGGGGAACGTTCGTGCTGCTGGGGGAGAGAACTCAGCTCAGACGCGGCGGGACCGCCCTCGTTGTTATTGCAGGGACTCTGAGAAACGCCGGCCGTAGCTGCCCCTTCAGGAGTGAGACCCACCATCTGGTTGTGCTCTATAGAGATGGCCCCGCAGGAAGAGCCCAGTTTGTTCTGAGTGTGGGCCATGTGAACGGGGATTTCCCGGGAGCCCGAGTACGTGCCTGGCTTCGAGCCGTGCCTATCCTTGGCCTGGATCTGAATTTCGATGCTGAGGTGAGTGTTTCCGTCGCTGCTAGTGCCGCGGCTCAAGCTGTGATGGTTCAGCTCACCCCCAGAATTGTTGTCCGTCATGCTGCTGTTAAGGTCGCGGTTCACGTCCTTGTTCATGATTTTGCTGTGCTGCCGATTTTTCTGCCAAAACTTCTTGGCCGCGCCATTCTGACGTGGGTTATAAAAATTGGGATAGCTATCCTGCGTAGAACCAAATGAAATTTCTGACGAGTTTGGCAAAATGAGATTGATGTTGGACTGTTTGTTGCTGTTGTTCTTCATGTTGTAAGCTTTGGTGATGTTGGATGATTTCTGCGAATACACCGATAGATTGGTGTTGCTGTTGGACTTGACAGCACTGCCGTTAGCTTGGGGGGCTGCCGGTGTGGGGGGAGGGGGGGAGGCGAGGATTGTTTCCGTGACCTCCATAGGAGGCGTGTACACCTCAGGGGGAGCCATACCCACCGCACGTTTCCAGGTGAGACAGGAATCTTTGCGGGTGAAACAGAAGAACGTGATCATGAAGATGCCGAAGAGAGCGCTCATGAGGCCGTAGATGTAGCTGAAGATGAGCTCCTGGTGCGGGATGATGTGGTGAAAGGGCTTCGCGATGGCCAGCGCCGCACACATCCACATGACGATGAACAGGAAGAGAATGGCCACCAGCGACCGGAGCTGTGTGATTGGCCGACGCTCCTGGTCCGGCAAGCTCACCGTGGACACTGAGTCCTCCTCGTCGTCGTTGCTGTGGTGGCTGTAGCGGCGACGGTAGCCACCGCTGTAGTTGTTGTTGCTGTGGCCGTTGTGAGCCGCAGTGGTGGTGGTCGTGTCGGGCTGAGAGGGGACCAGCTCGATTTCGTTGGCATGAATTTCGTTGTCGCTTTCGTTGGCGGCGTCGCTGTCATTTTCCGGGACGGACCTCACCACACAGGAGATGCGGAGGAACAGGATGAGGTTCCAGGCCACCAGGAGAGCGACGGGCGCGTAGAACGCTCCGAGGCTCGGCTCCCACTCCAGGAAACAGCTGGGAGAAAAATAGTGGAAAAAATGTTGATTCATTTCACGCAGTATCTACTAACTTATTTACTTTTGACAAAAAAATAAAAGTTGTCGTCATAAAAATTGTTTTTAAACAATAAAAACCATAATGATTCATCGACTTTTTGACAAAAAAAGACACAAATCTTGTCATAAGAACAATCTAACTTAAGAAAGGAAATAAAAATACTAAAGTGATAATGTTGATAAAGTGATGTCTTGGAGGAATCATAAGCAACATATAGCTCTTGTGTATGAGGAAAAGACGCCTGCCCTTTATTCAATAAGCATTGATTTTTAAAAGTCCTTTTATTTCAGATTGTTCTATCCGTTTTCAGCTTTACTGATCATACTGTCTGAAGGTGAAAAACTAGTCCACAGTTGGAATAGTTGAAAAAAAAAGAGGGGAAGATAAAAACATACTATTACTATTAGGGAATAACTTTAACACCATGAATAATGCAAATTTAAAAAATCCAAATGAGTTAAGACATTCTAAGAAAATTTTCTTTTGTGCAATTCCAATCATCTCAAAAGTTTTTTCACTGTAATTCAGTCAAAATTATGCTGAAACATTTCTAACGAGCGGGACTTCTTAATCCTATCCGTACGCCGTGTTTCACTATCGTATCCATACGACATGAGGAACTCTGTGCCACCACTTTCCAAAGAGGAAATTTACTCGTTAATCCGATCCCTACTCTTGGCATAGCAGTCGGTCAAAATGATTTTTAGACAAATACTGAAAGTTTCCAAGAGACTTTCGTACTAGAAGTATTCTAAAATGTGAAGAATACAACTTCGGGGGTACAAAATGACCCCAGGGCGTACGGATAGGGTTAAAAATACAAACATCAGATCCAAAGAAACCAACAAGCATGAGGGAGAATACTTACTACTGTATACAAAGAACCGTGACGGAGAACACTTACTATTGTATACAAAGAACCCTGACGGAGAACACTTACTATTGTATACAAATTCTGCCCCCGTTGGATTATGCGATTGTGCGGGCGCGGCGTAATCACCGTAATAAGTCTCATTTAAGAGACAAGTTGGTCATTTCCCTTGTTAGAAGATCTTGGTTATGGGTAGGAATTTTGTTCCTTGAGCATGTTCAATTTTTCAATCCATTAAAAGTTGTTTGCCAGGTGTCCCCGGTTTAAGTCATGTGCCAGCATCAGAGGTCCAGATGTTCTTTTTTTTTTTTTTTAACAATTTTTCTTTCTTCTATAGATCTAGATCTACAGCTGAAAGTTACAGAGATTATATTTTTTGGTTGTTTTTTTTTTCTGACGGATGTGTATTGTTTTCTTTCCAAATACACAACAAATTACTGATACTGATATGTTCTGTTTTCAATTTTTCTGTACATAAAACATGAAAATCATGAACATTCTTGTTGAAAAAGTGCAAAACATGTCGCGAATGGTGTTACGGTAACTAGCATAATTTTACTTCTTTTTTGGGGGCATAATTTGGCCATCTAAATTTGCATAATTCTCCGAGGACAGTACCAAAGAACCATAAGGGAGAACACTTACTATTGTATACCGGCGTAGAAGTTGAGGTTGACGGCCGCCGTGATGCCGCAGATGATAAGCGGGACACCGTAGCCCACGAAGTAGAACTGTAGGATGGGCTTAGGAGGGAGAGGCATGACAATGGGGTCGGGGGGCGGCTCAGGCGGGCGGTTTGCCTTGATGAACTTCTTGTATATGATGCTGTGGGCAGATAAAATACACACTTTTAGTTTTAGTAAAAGTTTTACTGCACTTACAACACAATAAGGTCATATAAGTGCCGAAGATTAGAGGTGTTACAAAAGAGTAACAAACATAAAAAAGAAGGAGGAGAGATAAAGACCACAGTCGTTTGATAGGAAAGAAGGAGCAAAGCACATCAAAGCACCCGCCAACCACCCACATTAGTAGAGGTTTTACGGTGCTCGCAACTGCACAAGGTAGTATCAGAGCCAACTTTCGAGGGGTGGATGTCAACAGAGAATCCTTACAGGGATTCAGACTCACTCTGCTCACCTCTCTAGTTTCAACAGCACAAAGTCTGCTTCGACAATCATGGCACCCCGGAAATACCGGGTCACAAGAGTGTGACAAACATACAAAAGAAGTAGAGGAAGATGACAATAGTAAGGATTAGGAAAGAAAAAGCAGCAGTTCCCTGTTGTAGCTCAGGCACAGTTATGAGCATGACATTGTTGGATCAGCCCATTTACAATTCTATTGTGCATAAGAATATGTTAATGTCCCCCCTTTGGGAATGGCCTAAAGACACTTCATAAGCTTTTAACGTTATCTTTCATTATATTAGTTCTGTTCCTATGTCTGGATGAAAATAGTGTGTGTGTGTGTGTGTGTGTGTGTGTGTGTGTGTGTGTGTGTGTGTGTGCATTAATGTATATTGCATGAGAAGAAAGGAAGTAGTAAGAAAGGTTTTTGAAAAATGGGTATTCCAATGTAAAGTGCATTGAGCTACTTTTTTGGAAATGCGCTATATAAATGTTATATATTATTATTATTATTATTACTTCAGTCAGTGGCACCACCCCGGGGGGTAGTAAGTAATGAAAAAAGAGAACCACATAGTTAAAAAACCCGACTCACTTGGAGGTGATAGTGATCCAAAAGACAGCGCACAGAGTGAGGTAGTGGATGCAGATGCCAGAAATCTGACAGGGCAGCTCCACGTCGGTCCGGTTGATGCCACACACAAACCCGGTCATGAGGAGCAGAGTGCTCAGGCAGATGTTGACCACTGCATGCTTCACTTTCTTGGGGATCCCAATTGCCCTGGAAGAAGAAAAAGAAAAATGTGAGGCATCGTGGTGAACTCAGGCGCTTGTCAAAATAATAATATCAAAGAAATCGGCATTTTTTTTGGTCGATGGACAATTTTTTTTCGGATTTTCTTTTTTTGACTCAACACCTTTTATATCAATTTTTTTAAAACATTTTTGTGAGTATTTTACTGAAAAACATTGATTAAAGGCACAAAAAATGTTAATTTTCAGGTTCCAAGGACTCTCAGGCTATTGAAGTTACCGAACTTTGGCAGCCATTTTCTCACCAATTTTACCTTTGAAACCAGACAACTCTGACTTCTTCAATCGCAAATACCTCTATTTCTATTAAGATAGATTTGTAGGCCAATTTTTTTCACCGGAAAAAAAAAGACACAAAAAAACAGGCTTTAAGATTATACCAATAACTCAATATGCCTAAAAATTGACAAGCGCCTGATTCCACCATGCCGTGACACAAATGTCTACCTCACAGACTTTACATTACTACCATCCATGATTCCATCACAATCAGCAAACACTGACTGAGTCATTGAAACAGTAGAAAATGTGAGGCGTGCTGACAAAATGAGTTACTTCTCGCATTCCACACATGGAGATATTGACCAAAAATCTACACAAGAGTCAAAATAGTGCATTTTCAATTTATTATTTCATACCTATAAATTGTAAAAACTTCACCTATGAGCGTGATGTATCTATTTCTACAGGATTTGAATCCAAGAAGTAACTGATTTTGTCAGCACGCTTCAAAATTATCTTATGCCCCATTTGCACAATATTAGATTATTTAGGGTTACACACCCTAAATATAGTAAAGGGCTTCAGTATCACACTGCAGATTGGGCTGTAGCATCGACAGGCCATGTACGCCCTGGTGTCATTTTGTACCCCAAGGGTTGTATTCTTCACATTTTAGAATACTCCTAGTGCGAAGATCTCTTTGAAACTTTCAGTATTTCTCAAAAAATCATTTTGACAGACTGCTATGCAAAGCGTACGTATTGGATTAACGAGTAAATTTCCTCTTTGGAGAGTTCCCCACGTTGTATGGATACGATAGTAAAACACGACTACAGATAGGGTTAAGAATGCCAATCATTAATTCTTTAAATACGCACTACACTACAATTTTTGTTTCAAAACATAGGTGTTTTACAACCCCATATCGAAACCAACTTCCATCATTTAGAAGGCAGGCTTCCACCATACCAATAAACGACCAACCTGGAAGGCAGCTTCCACCATACCAATAAACGACCAACCTGGAAGGCAGGCTTCCACCATACCAATAAACGACCAACCTGGAAGGCAGGCTTCCACCATACCAATAAACGACCAACCTGGAAGGCAGCTTCCACCATACCAATAAAGGACCAACCTGGAAGGCAGGCTTCCACCATACCAATAAACGACCAACCTGGAAGGCAGCTTCCACCATACCAATAAACGACCAACCTGGAAGGCAGCTTCCACCATACCAATAAACGACCAACCTGGAAGGCAGCTTCCACCATACCAATAAACGACCAACCTGGGCTGAGAAGGACACAACATCCCAGCAGAAACACTGAGATACTTTTTGTTTGGTTTTAGTAGAGGTTTTACGGCGCTCGCAACTGCATAAGGTCATATGAGCGCCAAAGGGTAGATGTCAACAGAGAAGTCCTTACAGGGAATCAGACTTACTCTGCTCACCTCTCCAGCTTCAACAGCAAAAAGTCCATTATCAAAGCACCCCGGAAATAGCGGGTCACAAGAGTGTGACACAAACATACAAAAGAAGTAGAAGAAAATGACGACTGTAAGGATTAGGAAAGAAAAAGCAGCAACTGGTCGCTTTTAGGGACAAGCGGGCTAACCCAGATTTTGGGGTTTCCAGAAATCTTGACCTACACCAAAAGTGGACATTGCCCTACCTATATGAGAAGTTTGGTTTCATTGGTGTGCATATGTGTTTGGTTATAGAGAAAACTCTCCTTGTCTTTTAAAGAAACTGAACAAGGGGCAAAAACTTTACCTCCGATTTTCTCAAAATCGCATTTTTTCGGGATAGCCTCATTGTGCTTAAAAGTGACCAACTAAACAAAGAGAACCTTTCTCTCCCATGAGCTACTTACCCAAAGCATGCTATCAGTGTTGTGATCACAAATATCAGACACAGCATGCACACCCCACTTCCCACATAGATGACAGGTTCCATGGGAAAGGCTGCTAGTCTGTAGGCAAATGAAATCTCCTGAGGAAAGATAAATACCACAATTGAGGACCATTAATATTTCCATAAAATTCACTTGCACTATCCTACCTGAAGGAAAAATTGCAAAACTCCAACGCATTCAAAACAATGCTGCCAGGCTAGTATTAAAGCAATCAAAACGCCATCATGTGACTCCCCTACTTAAAGAGCTCCATTGGCTTCCACTGAAAGCGAGAATTGAATATAAGTTAGCCCTACTATGCTTCAAAGGTCAAACTAACCAGTCTCCCACATACCTTCAAGAACTCATTGTACCATACACACCATCACGGAAACTAAGATCCAGTGGCTCTAGAAAAATTTCAGTACCTCGTGTGTCACTGAAGAAATATGGGGAGAGAGCTTTTTCTTTTTCTGGGCCAACAGTTTGGAACACTCTCCCTCATGATTTGAGGATAATAAAACTTGATACCTTCAAAAGGGGACTCAAAACACATCCATTTAAGAAATATTTTAATTAATGGACAGTACCTTGCCTTTTTGCATGAGTATTTTTTAAATGTCTGAAACAAATGTAGCTGTCAAAGTGTGCGCACATGATGAATTTGTATGGTGTTAGTATGAATGCGTGTTTAATCTCCTATGTACGCCTTGGGCCCATGCTGTGGGGAAAGGCGGGATACAAATGCTCTTATCATTATTATTACTATTATCCTACAATAACTTTCTGCAAACCTTATCTAACCCTTGGAAAAGTCAAAATTTCACACAAACGTTCTTAGATCAAACCATACTATTAAATACACAAACAAACAAAATTGCTAGCCATGTGAAGGCTTCAACACACACAAATACTGCATTCTTTTCACAGATCTATCTGTGATATTTCAATTCATCTGTAGTTCACCAGCTATTTTCGAAATGGCCCAGTGGCATCAGCAGCCTAGTGGTTAGGATATCAGACCCATAATAATTAGATTGCCGGTTTGGGGGTCGAACTTCAGTTCAGTCCTATAATGTGTCCTTGGGAATGGCAATCTCCTTTCAGAGAGGTAGATTAAATTTGGAGGTCCAGCCTCTTAAATAATCTAAATGTGTTGATAGGGGTGTTAAACCAATACCATTTCGATTTTTTTTTTTTATGACCTAATGAGTAGGTTGTAATTTTAGTGCAAACATATTTTTCCTATAAAAATTCTGGCTGAACCAAAGCAACGGAGAAAACACTAAACTAGATGTGGGTACACATTTATGGAGCACTTTTCCATATCAAAGCCAACATTCCAAGTCTTATGCTTCTGGTGCTGGCTTGGTAAATGTAATATGACAAAAAGCGTGGATAATGTCCTTGTGCAAAATTAATATTCTCAAACCTGTGTGAACAAAATTGAGCCTTTCCTGTCAAAGGAATCCCTGGACGCGCCGAGCCAGTGAAGTTTAGTATCACAGACTCCCTACCTTCCTACACCACCGTCAAACTTTCTGTTGCCTTTCCCCTCGACAGTAAGGTAGGTGTCTTCGGTACACATTGACATAACAAGGCTAGTGTTATGTGACATCCCCTGGATTGCCAAATCTTTTTCATAAAAGTTGTTCCCAGATCCCATCCAGACATTGGGAATTGCCTCATTAGTGAGACAACTTTCTGGGCCTTCGGCATATTGTGGTAGGTTGGCCAGTTCCTTTCCATGCCGTCTTCACTTCCCCAAGTCAAAGTCGGGTACCCATTACTGCTGGATGGGCAGGAGGGGGCGAAAAAAATCCGTGTCTGAACCGAGGCTCGAACCCGGACTTTCCGCTTCGGAGACGAGCTAACTGACCGCTCCGCCACCGCACCCTCTCTCTTTCATAACACATCCGTAAATTGAGTAAAGACATTAAGCCCCCCCCCCCCAAAGAAACTTGTGCTGACCTGTAGAAGAGCAAAGTGAGACAAGTGGTGCACGTGTACGGTGACCGTGGAGCCATTCTGTTGGACAATCTCACAACCATCCGTCTTCCAACCACCATAACCATCTGGAGGAGCAAAGAAAACAAAAAATCACACACTGAAACTCACAACCTATTCGTTATGAGTGTTCTCATTTCCTCAATAGCAGTTTTTCTCTATAAATATCATAAGAACACTATCCAAGACCTGTCTAAAACAATCATGTTTCTCCTCTCTGTGGGTGGCCATCTTGGACAATTTGAACCGTATAATAAATCTGTATAATAATCCTTATAACTTGTTTTGTTTTAGTAGAGGTTTTAAGGCGCTCACAATTGCATAAAGTCATATGAGCACCAAGGGGTGGATGTCAACAGAGAAGTCCTTACAGGGAATCAGGCTTACTCTGCTCACCTCTCTAGCTTCAACAACACAAAGTCGGCTTCAACTATCAAGGCACCCGGAAATAGCAGGCCACAAAAGTGTGACAAACATACAAAAGAAGTCTAGGAAAAATGACGATAGTAAGGATTAAGAAATCCTAATAACTGATACCAATGTACACAATTGAAAATTGTCAAGAGTAGCCTACCTATTGCTTTGAAATCAAAATAAGCTGCCTTCAGAGGTCTGTGTATGTCAGCGACATCAAACGTGATCACCACAGGCTCAGACAAGTTTTTCGCAGGCCTCCCTGAAAAAAAAAGAATATTTTGAAATAATATTGTTTGTACACATTAATAAACGTTATATTATACACGGCAATG